GCTCGGCGGCACAGCCGCCGCTCAAGCGGCTTGCCCGTTACAGCGCGCGTTAGTTGCGCCAGCCTCCACGATCATCGTAGCGTTCACCTCAGGAGCATAAAGACGAAGAAGCAAGGGAAGTCGATTATTGAAAATGGTTTGGCAAGCTGACACAGAAATAGCAAGGCTAAGTTGCAGAAAGAGACTCAAAACTGAAAGCGAGACTGCGTGATGCTTCAAAGGGACAAGCTCCTGGACAGCGGTAACAGGCTAGAGCGAACGGACGCACTGTATTAGCACCTTGTATCGCACCTTGTATCGTTCTACAAACAATGTAAGCAACCCGTTACAGGTTGAACCTACCACTTGAAGGGCCATGCCGCGACCAATACTGGTGAGGATCTGAAAACCTACCCATTTGCTGACCGAACTATCAGGAGCAAGCGTCGTGCAAAGGCCAGACCCAACACCAGCAACAAGACTGCCCATGATGGCCCAAGGAGGAATATAGCATAGCTTGCGTACTAGAGACCCAAATAGTACCAAACCAACCACCACGGTGGCCACTTAGGGCAGCAAGTCTACGGCGCTTTGGCTGGCGCTGTCGCCTTTGATCGCCTGAAACCAGGGGGGCAAGAAAAAGGGAACCGCCTGCGAAGCTCCGCCTTGCAGAAAAATGACGATGCTGCCGGTATAGACTGAGCGTCGCATCAAGCTTGAAGGTGGGATCAAGGCATCGTCGCCTTTGAACCACGCCCACAAGCAAAACGCAACTATCTCGGCCAAGCCGCCGCAAAGCAAGCATATTATCATGGCAGAAGACCAAGAAGCTTGGTTTCCACCCCATGTCAAAGCCAGCAATACCATGGCAACACCGCCGCCGAACAGAAAAAAGCCGATCGGATCGAGCGTGCGCGGCAATCTCTCGAGGCCTTTGACAAATGAGCCCTTCTCGCTCTGTTCTGCTAAGTCTCTAGTACGCAAGCTATGCTATATTCCTCCTTGGGCCATCATGGGCGGTCTTGTTGCTGGTGTTGGGTCTGGGCCTTTTTTCATAACAGCAATAGTCATATTGACGGCGCCTCCGAATGGGAGGAGTATCCATAAGCCTAATGCAATGCGTTGAGTTTATAACGGAGCGACGAATAATAGCCAGCGAAAGAAAGGGGGGACAAAAAGAAAGAGGGGGCAAAATAAAAGCAGCGGCACTCACACCAACGCCAACCAATACGCGCTGTAACGACTCCGGCAATAATCGGCCCCGTCATATCCCACGGATATCATCGACACGGCGAGCGATGTCGAGAGTGGCCGAATGTTCGGATCGCACACACAGCTTAAGATGAGCATGCAGCCGTTGAGCTGACTAGACGCACCAAGACCATTGATCACGCGTCCGAGCATAAAAATGTGACTCGACTTGGCAACGGCGCACACGACGAGCCCAATCTCAAAAACAATCATAAAGCTAAGATAGACATGCTTGATACGGAACTGATCGTACAGCTTGCCCACCACCGCCGTCAAAATACACCTTTCAAAGAAAGAGAAGCAAATTAGCAAGGTATTCGGCGCCTACTTCCGCACACCAGAACATTGGTGACCTACAGTGGAAGAACGTATGCCGACTCGTACCAGGAGATGTCGGCCACGGTACCAAACTCGTCCGTCAGTGTAGGGACCACGGTCGACAGCATGGTGAGCTCCAATGCAAGGAGATGGACGCTCAGGTACAGAACGGCGAGGACCAGCCAAAGCTGCGCTCCGTGAAGCGTCAGGTTCGATGCAGGCTCTTCCTCTGGCGTGGCGCTCGGATCCGTTACCGTTGTTGGCTGCTGTTGGGCGTCGGGCTTGTTCGAGACAGTTGTGCCCTCGGCGGTGGTCGCGGAGCCGGCTTTATCTTGTTCTTGCCTCATCGTGGGTTCGAGTAGAAACTAGAGGGTGACGTGCGTTGAACTGATGGCGAACTGACCATTTTGGCAGCTTGGGATGGCTCTTTTGTGGTTTTATCAAAGGTCATGACTGCGCAGGCGCAAAGCGGTTGCCTAGCAGCGCACTGCTGGCGAAGGATCATGGCTGCAGGTCGGTCGGCATTTATTGGCCGAATTGAAGATTTTTGTTCTCAGCAGAAGAAGATTTTTTTTTAAAGAAAGGGCTGCTGCCTATTCTTGCACACCAGTCGGCTACATTGGCTGTCTCGCGCCGTTTATTACAGTGCCTAGCCGTTATATCGGCGCCTTGGGTTTCCCCAAGTAACCCGCCTGGCCCGCGTGTGCTCTTGTACTGTAAACAGAGCACCGGCCCGACAACCCGACAACCCGACAGCCCCTCTTTCTAGACGTTTCCCCCTTGTTAAGGCCGCTATTCCTGAGGGCTCGCCCGCTGTTGCGTTGAAGAATGAAGTGGAATCTGCTGCGGCGCTGGTAAACCAACTCATTTTAACTGCTGGCCACAGTGCTGCACGTGACTCCACGCCATTTTCGCGCTTTGGCAGAGAACACGACTTGACGATTCTAATACAACTGATGCGGCACCCGAAAATCAATGCCGTCAAAATTAACGAACTTTACGCTTTAGTGTCAATTGGTCTGGGAAGCCGACAGACGGGATCGCCAGCCGCCGTGGCTCGCAACTGGGGGCGGCCCCTTTAAAATCGAAGCTCCCAAATCGAAGCTCCCACTACACAGCCGCCCAGATTTGAGACAACTTCATCCACCCTCGTCCTCCAAGGGGATGCGACCCCGGGGAACGGAAAAGCATATCGTTTGACATTTTGGCAGTTCGACCACCCACCATGTCAAAATTCAACCCCAAGTTCCTCATCGTCAGCCTCGGCAACCCCCTACCTGAGTACTCCAGCCTGCACTCGGCCGGCCACTTTGCCCTCCGCGGGCTCGCCAAGCCCCTGCGCCAGCCCGGCCTCCGCAGCGGCAAGCTCGGCAAGCTCTCGTGCCTCGTCTCTCCGGGCCCCAAGTACACGCTGGTGCAGTCGCCCACGCTCATGAACGTCAGCGGGCCCTTCGTCGCCAGGGCGTGGCAGGAGATGCTCAAGCTGCACGACGCGGCCTCGCTGAGCCTCGTGGTGCTGCACGACGAGCTGGAGAAGGCGCTGGGCCGGGCGGCGCTGGTGCCGTGGGACCGCAGCCCGCGCGGCCACAACGGCATCAAGAGCGTCAAGCAGGCCCTGAGGGAGGACAGGTACCCGCGGTCGCCGCTGGTGCGCATCGCGGTGGGCATCGATCGGCCGCAGGCGCGCGACCCGGCGACGGTGGCCAGGTACGTGCTGGACCCGATCCCGGCCGCCAAGCAGAGGGTCCTGGAGGAGGAGGTGCCGTGGGAGGTCAAGACGTTACTGGAGGAGCTCGAGGCGGAGTGGAAAGGCCAAGTGGAGGGGTAGCGACGACGGCGACAACAGACGACGACAACGGGGTCGAATGATGGCTCAGCATATCATGAGCGAGGCATATCAATGACGGGGAAAATACGGCCAATTCGGCTCAATGAAGGAAAGCTCATTACCACGGCATCGGGTTCCGGGCGACATCGGCCACCAGCAAAGCACATGAGGGACTTTCCCCCTTTCTGTACAATTATTACGACTTCTCCCTTTTCAGCAAACTCACTTGATCAAAAGCGTCCAGGAAAACGGCCAATGGATGGCATGACTCCGTTATCTTGCTGGTGGCGTTTTGGTGGTTTGGTGGCGTTGGCACCAACCGACAAGGCTTCCTCTGGTAACTCGTCTGGGGCAAGCCAAGAGATAAGCTCCACCCCCATCATGACCAGTCTATCTATCTTTATCAGTGGCTTGTCGACATGTCTCTCCTCTTGTTCCCTTTGTCAAGGCTCAGATAAGCTTTGCGCGAATCCCTGAGGGATGAGGCTGTCCAGAGCACGGGCCGTTGCATTGTCGCAGCTGAGGTTCGAAGCCTCATCGCTGCGCATCTATTGCGCATCCATAGACGATGTTACCCAGCCAGTCCACAGTGCAAACCACTTTGCAACTTCTTGTTATTGCAAGCGGCATGTCTATCCGTATACACAATTCCATCTCGATGCCATGTGCAATGAAGCAGCTTACGGTCCAGTGGCCAAGCCGCGCCGGCGCTTGGCAGCTACTTAATTGTCAATATCCCGATACCTCCCGGCAACCAACAAGCTTTCTGATAAGAAGCTGAGCGCCATGCCTTTCGCATTCACCCCAGGCTGTCTGTTATCTGGGCACCCTGTGCGCCTCATCCGCTCAGCTGCTTATCGCGGGTTGCAACTTGTCGTTATCGATTCCCATGGCCAGACTCAATAGCCCACGTTGGGCTTGTGATTGCTTACCCTCCGGGAGCGGGCATGATTCGGCACCTGAGATTACGCTTGTTCATCTTATACTGCGCTGCACCCCAGAATTCTACCCGAGCCAAATAATATATCTATCGCCGCTCCCCCCCGGCGCACCTCCTTGCCTTGCCAGTTTCATCCCAAAGACCATCCTAAGTGAAGCGCGTAGCAGACCTGCCTGCACCTTGCCATCATGTCCTCGACTGTCACGTACAACGGCACGACCGGCACCGCCGACGAGGGCTACTCCAGCCATGTCCAAGATCTTAACGTCTTCTACGATGTACGTCTCCCCCTTTCTCTTCAACGACCTCCCCTTTCACCCCTTGCTCACATCTGGGCACCAAGACCGGCCACATGACCTTCATCGCCCTCTCCTCGGTTCTCGTGCTGCTCATGATCCCCGGTGTCGGCTTCTTCTACAGCGGCCTCGCCCGCCGCAAGTCGGCCCTGCAGCTGGTCCTCCTCTCGATGCTGTCCGTCGCCGTCATCGGCTTCCAGTGGTTCTTCTGGGGCTACTCGCTCACCTTTTCGCGCACCGGCAACGCCTTCCTCGGCGACCTGTCCCAGTTCGGCCTGATGAAGACGCTCGCGCAGCCCAACGGCAGCAGCGCCACGCCCGACATTCTCTTCTGCCTCTACCAGGGCATGTTTGCCGCCATCACGTGCGTTCTCTCCCCGTCATCGTTCATTGATCACCCCGAAAGCTTACCACCGGTCGTGATAGTCCCGCCCTGGCCATCGGCGCCGTCGCTGACCGCGGCCGCATGCTCCCCGCCGTCGTCTTCATGTTCATCTGGTCGACGGTCGTCTACGACCCGATCGCGTACTGGACGTGGAACGCCAACGGCTGGCTCGCCACCCTCCCCTCGTACGACTTCGCCGGCGGCGGCCCCGTGCACGTCGCCTCGGGCGCGTGCGCGCTCGCCTACAGCCTGATGCTCGGCAAGCGCGCCGGCTACAGCACCACCCACGGCCTGCCGTACCGCCCGCACTCCGTCACCAACGTGCTCCTCGGCACCGTCTTCCTCTGGGTCGGCTGGTTCGGGTTCAACGGCGGCTCCGCGCTCGCCATGAACCTGCGCGCCATCATGGCCTGCTACGTCACCCACCTCGCCGCCTCCGTTGCCGGCGTCGTCTGGGTCCTCCTCGACTACCGCCTCGAGCGCAAGTGGAGCACCATCGGCTTCTGCTCCGGCGCCATCACCGGACTCGTCGCCATCACCCCCGCCGCGGGGTTCGTCCCCAGCTGGGCCGCCGTCGTCATCGGCGCCGTCGGCGCCGTCTGCTGCAACTTTGCCACCAAGCTCAAGTTCCTCATCGGCGTCGACGACGCCCTCGACATCTTTGCCGTCCACGGCATCGGCGGCATAGTTGGCAACATCCTCACCGGCGTCTTCGGAGCGTGAGTCTCTTTTCTCTCCCTGCTCTCGTTTCCTTGCAACTGACACATTTCGCTTTTAGATCTTACATTGCCAACCTCGACGGCACCGAGCACGCGCCCATCGGCTGGATCGAGGGCAACTGGGTCCAGGTCGGCCGCCAGCTGGCCGGCACCTGCGCCGCCTTTGGCTGGTCCTTTGGCCTGTCGTGCATCATCCTCTTCCTGATGAACCTGGTGCCCGGCCTGTCACTGCGCGTCAGCGCGACCGACGAGGACGTCGGCATCGACGACGCCCAGCTGGGCGAGTTCGCGTACGACTACGTCGAGCTCAAGCGCAACTTCAACGACATGGGGCTAGCGACGACGGACGTCTCCGCGTCGAGCAGCACGGAAAAGGTGGCGACGGCGGTTTAAGCTCGTGTTGGGGGTTTGATTTGTTTTGATCGGCGTGGAAATATATTAATAAGAGATACCAGTTTGACTTGGCCTTTGTACATTCGTGTAGAACTATCTGTTATTCGCGTGCATTCACCTCACTGTGTCCCTTCTATATTAAAGAAGCTAGCTGCACCAATTCTACAGCATCAAGACCAGTTCAAGAGATCAGCGGTCACTTGCCAATACCCGTTCGGTTGTCATAAGGGCGGCACAAGTATAAGCTTGGCCGAGGACAGTATTTGGATCGAGTAGGAGCCGAGCACAAGACAAAATTGAAGCAATGCGGTTCTTTGTATCCCCATAAGTGAGTCTAGGAGCTTATTCCAGACGATCGGGTCAAGTGTTTATTCACCTTTGCCGTGATGTCCCCTGTTGGAGTTGCACCGTCGTACCACCCGAGGTGCGTGCCTCTCCGAATTCAGGCAACAGGAGACAAATCAGGATTCGTTCAGTCTAGTACAATATCTCCTGTAGTACTTTTTATGTGGTTGAAAAATCAAACGTGCGGTTTCGAGAAAATAGTTGCCTTGATTCCTGTCAGGTCTCCTGCGACGCAATCACTGGTGTATTGTGCTAGAACGCGCAAGAGATGCACGTAACCGTAGAGTTTGTCTATCCTGCAACGGAAACTGTCCGACGATTCTGAGAAGAGTTGTTAAGACCATAAATTACTTAATAAACCTTTTTATTAACGTTCATGTTTGGTTCAAGAGCCACCCTTCACCACGACGGCGATACAGGGTAGTTGGAGCCGATAACTGCAAGGAACGGTAATCCGGGAATCTTGCTCGGGCCCGGATATGCAAACATGACAGGGCATAGTGCGACCAAGTAGTTAGTCGGTGACTGCGGAATCTGGGCCGCGAGCAGAGGTCACGTCTGACAAACTCTGGTGTGGTGTTGTGGTGAGGGATGGTAAGAGCGTCCTCAAGAAGACGTATTGGTAGTCAAGACCCGCGCCGCCGGACGAGGCACCACATCGGGAGGGATTCTACGAATCTGAGCGCGAAAGCCCGGTTGCCCGCGGCCGGCCGCCAGGCGCTATTGTCTAATGTCTCAGAACGGTAGGCAGCAGCTCACGGGACATCACGGCCAATGACCGGATCAAGCGCAAGACTCGGATTCCTGCAGCAAGGCCTCGGCGGCATCAGAGGAGCAAATATTCCGAGACACTGGCGAACGAGGACGTTGGCGCAAGCAGGTGAGCCGGGCAGGCAGTGATGACGGGGAACGAGGCCGCGGGGCATCTACACGTGCAAGCGAGGAGAAGCACGTGCATGAGGAAATTAAGTCGGGATGAAGTTTGCCTTTTACAGGATCAGCGGGCGAGATGGTGGACGGGTTGATAAACGAGGATGGTCGCAGTAGGAGATTTGGGGATGATGTCAGGGCTAGACTGGGTGAGCCCTACGGATATTAGACTGCAGCGCATAACCTTGGCAAACAAAGCGTTGCGTGGAAATTCAGCGTTGCGTGGAAACACAGCTTGGACGCATTATATCCGCCGCATCACAAAAATTACGAGATATAACGGAGTTGGACAGTAAAGCATTCAGAAGCTGATGCCGAGTTTGCTATGTATATGCAGATCCAAGCACCAGAGGGGCAGGTCGTCGAGCGGGTCAGTTGACCGTAAAATGTTGTCACATTGTCATGTTGCGGACGGCATCCAACTGCTCGGAGACGGTCTATTGGTGCGTCGATCGAGGGAGCCCTGTAGGGCAAGTGCGCGAGGTTACAACAGTAGACCGAGACAAGGCGAAAGGAGGTTTCTTTTGCAGTCTCAAGTCATTGCAAGTTACCCCCCGCAGCCACTGCACCGGAGGTTGTCAGGATCTACTGCGTCCGCCGACGCCCGGCTTGGCGAGAAATGGAATGCAGGCGGGTTTCAACGAGGCCAGCAACCATTGTAACTCGGCGAGTGAAGAAAAAGGTCACGCGAGGTTCAGCTGGGCGTAATAACGATAGGTTGGTTTGTGGAAATGCACGTTGATGATTCGCACTACATTTTGCTGCGGGCTTTCATGGATCCAAGGAGATTCCTTTGTTGCGTCCGGGTTCCGGGTAGGTTGGTTGAGGATGGGGAGGATGTAATTATGGCAACGTAATGGAGTTGAGCACAAGTACAAACGAAGGGGGGGATTAGAAGACGACTTGAAAAAAAAAGTCATCCCGTTAGTTGCTCAGATTTTAATCTGGTGAGGGTAATGATGTTGCAAGTGACGTGGATGGACGGTCTTGCTGGGACTACAGTGGGCTCGGGCCAGCTTACAGTGGTGTTGGCCTGTGCCGGGTGCTAATAACCGGAGCGCATCGAGCATCCCGATCGCGCAATGGTCAAGGGATTGAGCAAAAGATGCCAGCAGGATGGGATTCGGGATGGATGTTGGCATGATGGGTGGTCAGGGAACTATCAAGTAGTCAAAATAGTAGCGTCGGTGCAGCATGCCCGGGCTGGTTCTACTGGTTAGCCCTGTGCTTGCGCTTTTCGTATTTGTATTGGTGGTGAGGTGAGTGAGTGAGTGAAGGAAGGCACTGGTTGGCTTGGCGGTCAGCACTTGCAGTCGAGGTGACGTTGCAGCGGGATGCAGGATGGGAGGGTAATAAATTGATGCTGATGTTGCTGTTGCTGTTGCTGGACGAGGACGAGGACAACGAGCAGAGTGATGAGAAGACGATGAGGTGATGCGAACTTGTCGGCAAGCTGCAGATTGTGGCTGTCGGGGAGAGAAGGGATTTGCGGGCAAGATGGCATGATTTGGCTGCGGAGGTGGACTTGGCTGTGGAGGAGGCGCTGGGGAGAGTGGACTGCGTGAAAATGAGGGCAGCATTCTTGAGCTGGCATCTATTAGCTGGGACTGAAATTGTTATTAATGATGATGGGATTGTTAGCGAGGGCATGAGAACAAGGCGTCCAAGAGTCGGCGACTTTGGCCAAGAAAGGCGAGTGAGCAGCACCAAGTGAAAGCAAAGCAAGCCCAGCAATTAATTAGCTTTACAGCCACCAACGTCAACTCGCAGCGGTCGGAAGGTCGCGTGCAACGGCAAGCAGACGACACTGTGCAGCACCACCCCTTTCTAGTGTAAATCCACAGTATGCACTGCCCCGTGATGCACCGTGTCGCCAAGTCCAACGGGGGGGACGCTTTGCCAGTTTGGGCGAGCCAACATTTTCTGCCTCCGCCTCGGACCATTTTAGACCTTCTTTTTTTATTCTTTTTTTCTAAATTCAAATTCAGCGCGGCTAACGTGGCGTCCACTCACGTTGCTCTGCCACGCCTCCAGTGGGCCCCAACTACGCCTCGTTTAGTCAGGTAACCAGTCGTGAAGCGAGTAGCCAGCCTGCCCGACTCCATTAGCAGACACCAGCCCCAGAATATAAGCTAAACTCCATTCTTGCCCTTTTTTCCCAATTTGACCCTGCTGACGCTGCACGAGCCCACTTCTTTTCTTCATCGTTTTTTTTTATTTGATTTTCATGGTTCCCTGTCCTCCTCCCATTGAAGAAGCAAGCGGTCTTTTTATGCCTCCCCATTCCTGGCTGTCTCGTGTGTCGCCCTTCGTCGTTGCCACTTTGCGACACACAAGCCACTGTCTGCCCACCTCTGTACGTAGGCGACTCCGAACAAGGGGGGATCGCCTGAGCCTAACTGAAAAGCCTTCCGCCATCAGTCCATGGCTTCCCGCTGCAGCGAATTACCTGTAGCCAGCCAGCTCTGCTCGCCGCTGCCGACTTTTCACCAGCAACTGGTCTGGCCAGTTTTTACCTACCCATTGCCTACCCCGTATTGTAGCATAAGGCACGCATCCCCTGCCGCTCAGAGTCATCAACCCAGTCTTTTCTAGTCCTTCGTTTTGTCACCACATGGACACTTTTCATGCAACAACGATCAAAAACTATTCTCCTCCCTTACATCTCGCTTCTCTTATGACCTCCCAAATTACCTATTACTGCACCCTATTATTACTTCGTCTCTATTAACTAACACAGCTGCCTCAACGCTTCACTTCACCTCACCACTCACCTCTCCTTCTGCGCTGCACTGCACCCCAGTCGTCCCCGCGTTTTGGCCCGCTGCAAAGGCCCGAATAAAAGCTGCAAACCACCCACACTCGAATCTTCTTCCCACCACGCTACCTCCAGCCTCCGGCCACCAACAACTCCCCGTCTTCTTCATCCCCGCAACCCCGGATCACGCCTCTGCGATTCCTTATCTATCGACCAAGTAATTGCCCAACTCTCCCAGTGGGCATCTCTTGTCGTCCAATTCTCCATCGATACGAGCCGAATCCTTGCCTCGTCCGCTGCCTCACCCAAGCCCCCCAAACGTGGCCTGGCCTGCGGCGCCCGAGACGCCCATCGAAAAACCCTTCACCACCAACGACTCGAGTCACTCATCACCACCACCGCCTGCCATCGCCCTCATCAACACCCCTCCGCCGACCATCATGTCTCAGGCCGTAAAGAGAGCCTGCGATGCTTGCCATCGTCGCAAGGTCAAATGTGATGGCATCAACCCCTGCCGCAACTGCTCCTCCGCCCAGCTCTCCTGCACATACAACGCCATCCCCCAGAAGAAGGGCCCCAAGGGCTCCCGTGCAAAGGTCATCTCCGAACTTCGCGAGACCCAACGCCTCACCTCACTCTCCGCCAAGGTCCAAAATCGCATCAACGGCATCGCCTGCCCCCCGCCCAGCAACCTGCTCGCCCCGACCCCCGGAATGGTCACCTCGGACCTTGTCAAGGATTGTGCCTCGTTCTTCTTCGACAACATGTATGCCCAGGCCCCCATCCTCGACCGTCGCCAAGTCGACCAGCAGCTCCTCTACATGGAGCAGAACCGTGATGCCTACTGCCTAGTCACCTCCATGTGTGCCTTGGTCATGCTCCAGCCTGGCATGTCCATGCCCCCCGGCGACCCCTACAACCTCGACATGGTCCCGGGTGCCAACATCATCTCCTCCCAGCTCCTGCTCGAAGAAGCCCTCAGGGTCCGCAAGGGCTACGAGTACCTCGACTCCGTCACCCACAACGCCCTCGCCACAAACTACTTCCTCTTCGCCTGCTACTACGCCCAGGAGTTGCACGACAAGGCCTGGTACTACCTCCGTGAGGCCACCACCATGATTGCTATGATCGGCATGGACAAGGAGGAGCACTACCTGCAGCTCGACCCCGTCGAGGCTGCTCGCCGCCGCCGCCTCTACTGGCTGCTCTACTCGGTCGAGCGTGCCTACGCCCTCACCCGCGGCCGTCCCCTCACCCTCAAGCCCACCATCAACCTGCCCACGCTCGCCGACGACCCGTCTGACCCGCTGGCGCACCAGCTCCACGGCTTCATCATGCTCGTCAACCTCCACCACCCCTTTGACGACTCCTTCATCACCGTCTGGAACAAGACGCGCGGCCAGCTCGCCGCCCCGTACATCAGCGGCCTGCAGAAGCAGCAAAACGACCTCGCCCAAAACTACGCCTGCCGGGAACCCAACTTTGCCGACCTCCGCGCCAACCAGCAGTGGCTCAAGAACACCGTCTGGCAGCTCACCAACGGCCGCAACGGCAGCACCGACGACAACTCCTTCTACAACGGCGACATGGCCCGCGAGCTGCTGCTGAACCTGGCCTCGTCCTTCCCCAACCAGGGCATGGACATTGTCAACACCGGTCTCATCGAGAAGCTTATCGAGATCACCTTTTCTCTCACCGAGCACCTGGCCATGCAGCCCGCCTCGCGCGACCCGTTCGCTATCGGACCCCGCGAGTGCCTCAACCAGATCCTGACCTCGGTTGCCCTCGCGCGCTCCGGCGAGCACCGCTTCCTTCCGCTGCTCCTGAGCAAGGTCACCGATGTCCTGCCGCGCACCGTCAACCCGATGCTGGCCAACGCCCCCGAAAACGTCGCCATGGCCTCGGTGGACATCTTTGACGGCTTCGGCAACGCCGGCATGGCGCAGCCGCCGATGCAGATGATGGACGGCGACTACGTGGAGAGCAAGTACGCGCTGGAGATGAGCAGTAGTCGCACGCCCGAGTCCAACTCGCACGCTAGCCACGCCACGCCGGGCTCCGGCTCCGGGGGCTCCGACCTGAGCAGCTCGTTCGTCGCGTCGCCGGACATGATGTCGCCCGGCGGCATGGACTACACCCACGGCAACAACCTCGCGCTCAACACGTTTGGGGTCAACTCCATGCAGGATATGGTGAGCCCGGTGGGACCGTCGGCGCAGCACATGCACATGCGGCAAGGCATGCCGATGAACGGCATGGTCATCCCGCGGCAGGGCAGCTTCATGCAGGGGGGCGAGTATCACGGGATGCCGCCCGGCGAGCTCGACTTTAACTCGCTGCGGTAACAAAGGCCGGCAGACGTATAAAGAACTGACGCTCTAGGGCGTGCGTCCAGCACAGAGCGTGTACAAATTCTCATCTTTTCTTTCTCGTCTCGTCGTAGAGAACCACTCTTGCGCCGCAAGAGCTTACACGGCCTCTTTTCATCTCCTTTGTCCACAGAGGCCTACCCCCGGCGTTTTGGGTTTGCGAGCTCGGTGCACTGCAACGGATTGGCGTTTTGGATTCTTATTTTCCCAGCGGAGCGTGTTTGATTTATTGCAAGATGTGACGTATTTAGTATACTCGTCTTTCTCTTCTACAATGATTTCTCGAGTTGACACGTATCTTTTCTCGTCTTGTATTTACCCTGGTATCGTTTGTTTTATCGTCCGAATTTGGTGGAACGGTTCCTGGATGTATGGGATAAAACTTAGCATAGTGGTTAGAAGTGAAGCTGTTCTTTCCACCTCTCTCGTTCACATGGTGATGACGACGTTCAACCCGGCCGTAATCGTCTCGTAACGTTTGCCAAATCAAAACAGTCTCATTAACGGGATCTTTATTTCGCACTTGGATTCGAACTGGATCTTTTATTGAAACTGGATCATTTCGCACATTTATCCGAACTGGATCATTAATTCGCTGCATTACCCATTTTCCGCACCCAATCCATGTCATTATCATGCACCGTTAATCATTCCTTTTCCAGGCTCACAATCCCTCTCCGTTCACCATGCAACTCTCGATCCATGCCATTGCCCATCCATTCGCGCACACGTTCTCTCGCTGCCCTGCAGCTTTTGGTATATCCATCCCGCACAGCCTCCCTCATCTCCACACAGCCCCCATCACCACCTTTCCTCAACCCCCCGCCTCTTCACCCCCCCGACCTTGCGTCTGTCCCATAACCGCCGCCATCGCCAGCGCCTCGATCCTGCCCTTGTACAGGCTCATCGTGTGCGCCACCGGGTCTCCCCATATAACCCCTCGTAGGGCCTCCTCCTCGCACGTCACCGCAGACACGCCCTCGGCCAGCCTCTCCTCCACCGAACGCTCCCCCTTCCCACCACCACCACCACCACTGCGCAGCACCACCACGCGCCCTGCGTTGCTCAGCGTGCACATTGGCACCGGCCAGCGCGGCGCCGCCTCCCGTCCCCGCCGCCTTCCGCCGCCGCTCTTCCCGTACAGCAGCTCCTCCTCCTCCTCCTCCTCCTCCTCCCCCGGCGACGGACTCGTCAGCAACTCCAGCAGACTCCTCACATACGCCGCGTCCGCGCGCGCCACCGGATCGCCCTCGTTCACACACGCCAGGAACAACCCCCTTCCCCTCTCCCTCGTCCGCAGCGGCAGCAGACTCACCGGGGGCGCGCCAAACGTGACGCAGTGCACACGCCGAAACCGCGCCCTCAGCGCGCCCAGCTCGCTCCTCGCCGTCGCCGCGTGCATGTGCGCGTGCAGCAGCGCCGCCACCGCGCCCCCCGCCGAGTGTCCCGTCAACAACAAGCTCGTGTCTCTCTCCTCGCCGCGCTCGCCGCGCTCGCCGCGCTCGCCGCGGGGCAGGAGGCGGCGCAGGCGCGCGGCGAGCGGGCGGACGGTGGCGCGCGCGACGGACAGGAAGCCCGCGTGGCACAGGTTGCCCGCGTCGTCGAGGAGGCCACCCGGGGAGGAGGGCGCGGAGGCGAGGTTGACGGCCCAGTCGGTGAAGGAGGCGGTGCTGCCGCGGATGGCGACGACGATGACCGTGGCCCCGCGGCGACGGTCGGGGGCGGGGGCGGGCACGGCCTCGACGACCATGGCCTTGGTGCCGGAGCGCCAGTCGGCGTCGATGAAGATGGGGGAGGGGGAGGGG